TGCTGGAGGAGGCGGGATGGCAGAGAACGTGACCTGCTGGAGGAGGCAGGATGGCAGGGGATCTCTTGCGTGGGCACAGGCTCAGCCTTGATCCAGGCTTGGCCACCTCATCATGGGAGACAGGGGTGACGGAGGAGAGAGGGGCCCAAGGCTCCTCAGCGATAGGAGGTGAGGGAAAGGAAAGCAGAGGCTTTCAGTGAACATCCCCCACCCCCACTAGCCATTCTGACGGCCTTTTGGACCGTGTGTCCATGGTTTGAACCTCACGGCAAACATGGTCTCAAGCAGAGCCTGGCTAACAGCCACACTAGGGAAAGGGCCAGTCAAAGAGACGGCGGGGTCAGGCAGATTGGGGCTTGGGAAGCCTAGCTGTAGTCAGTGCCCCGAGGCAGGCCAGGGGTCCCTTGTTGACAGCAGAGGAAGAGAAGGAGGAAGTCCCGGCCCCAGGACAGAGGCTCAGACCAGCCTCTCAGCCCCAACATTTCCCCAGTTCTCCCTGAGGCTGGGCATCTAAGAGCAGCCACAAGGCTGAGGTCAGGGACAGGGGAGCCGGGGGTGCAGCCTTGAATGTGGGGCAGCCCCATTTCTCTGCCTTCCTCGGAAGGGGCCCTCCAAACCACGTGGCTCTTCCTCCCCCCTGTCTGTGGGCCTCTGGGTGCCTCCATTCAGTGCCAGCTGATCAGTGTCAGGCTCTGGACTTCCCAGCAGCCCCAGACCACAGTGTTTATCATCCATCCTCCAGACGTGGCAGCCCAGCTGCGGGGGAGCAGTCTCATCCCCTTTCCCACAGAGAGCTTCCGGAGAGACTTTGGGTTGGGATTCGGCCCGGGAGGACAGATGCGTGAGATGGGTTTCCCAGCAGGCCTTCTGGGTTCCACAGTGCGACCACCCAGAGTGCCAGATGGGATCCCGTGGGCCTGTGGTCAAGGCACTACTGGCCTCTGAGGATCGAGTTTAACCCCACAGGGTGCTCCCATACCTTCCTCCAGTGTCCTCTGGGCAATGCTAGGCCCAGGGCTGGTTAGGATGGGCGTGAGAGTGGCCAGATGACTTCTGGAGCAGTACGGGGCTCCAGAAGAGGCGATGGAGCTCCCACCGTGCGCCTGGTGAGGGGAACATGGAGACGCATCAGTGCCACTCTGGCCCGGGACAATGGGCAGTCCCAGCCAGAGTGAGGCCAATGGCAGAGATAGCAGCAGGGAGCCTCCCAGAGGGGAGGGTGGGGAGGGGATGCTCAGACAGAGCGTGTGGCCCGAGGCAGCTCCCCAGACGCAGGGAGGATACTCCTGGCTCCCCACGTGCTTGCAGCCAGGCTGGGCCCCAAACACCTCTGCAGCTCAGGGGACCTCACTGTCCCCCGGGGGCTTGCCTCTCCTCAGCCTCCTTGGGGCGCCCAGGCTTGGAGAGCACCCTTCCTCCAGCACCAGCCCGCAAGGTGCTGAGGCACCTCTGGCAGTCACTTTCTAGCTAGACATTGTTCCCTGCCACCGTGCGTCACCTCATTTCCCCATCTCTGTCTCTTCTCTGAGCATCCAGCGCTTCAGTGGCATCCGGCTCAGAACTGCCCCAAGGGCCTGGGCTGCCCACACAGGAGCTGGCTCTACTTCTGTGGGTGAGCACTTGTCCATTTCCAAACGAGTGCACAAAGAAGCTTCATGAACGGCCATCGTGCCACCTTGGCCATGTGGCCACTTTGAAGGAGGGCCCTCTGGGGGATTGGCAGAGGGGGTGGCATGGGGCGCAGTAAGCCTGGCTAGCATCCAGGCAGATGTGAATTCAGCAACAGCACCTCGTGCTCCTCTGGGAGCAGAACTCAGTGCAAATACTGGGCTTCTGTGGCCCCGGGGCATCAGAGCCACTATCAAGGGCTGGGCCCCGGAATCTGTGGATCTTTGCTTAGGAAGAGCCCAGCAGCTGCGTCATCCCATGGAGACAGAATGCCCCCCACAGTGTGCTCTCATCCCCCCTCCCTGGGTCCTCTCTGCTGGCTGGAAACCTTCAGCCCGCAGCCCCAGCAAAGTGGAGATAAAATCCTGCAGTGGGACTTTGCGGGGTTACAAGGTTCCTGGCACCACAGTTCTCACAGAGCCTCTGTTTGGTAGCAAAGGCTCAGAGCCGAGCCCCCCACCTAGCAGAAATGTTTCCCTGCACAGAACGTTCCCCTACAACAGAACCGATGAGGAGCGTTGGCGTCTTCCGTGAGAAGAACCAGCAGCATCCTTTGCGTGTGTGATTTCAGAGTCAGCCCTGCCATGGAAGGAGAGAAATTCATGTATAAATGGGTGGGGACTGGGCCAGATCTGTTAGAGAGACTCCCGCTGCCGATGCCCGTGGCCCTGAGAGCTCTTCCTGGCTCTGAGACTGGCGCTTTCACCATGTGCTGTGAGGGGCCCAGGCTGGACAGGATTCTTCAGGCAGAGCTAGGACCTTCAGCAGTGAGCATTCAGACCATGAGGACGTCAGGGCCACCCCTCTGGGTGGGGCCCCTCAAGAACAAAGCCCAACGCGTCTCTCCAGGACTCTGCACCTCCAGAAAGGGAGCCAGGCAGGGTCAGTCATTGGAGAGGAGCAGGGCTGCCACCTCCTCCGCGACAAGAGCCTGAAGGATTTGGCCCTTGGGACCCCGGGCCAATGAGGGAGGCTGTTCCTGCATGGACGGATGGGGTCCCAGCAGGGCTTAGACTGTTTCCAGATGTGCCTCCTTCATGCCCGCTGCTTGGTGCAGGAAGCTCTAGGCTTCTGTCCCGTAGAACGAGGCATCAGGCCAACAGGCATGCGCGCGTGACGCCGGTGACGGTCACTGAGCCTTCCCGAGAACTGAGAGGGGTCGCCGCTGCCTCCGCTAACGCCGCCGCTGCCTCCACCATTGCTGCTGCTGGGGGATGGGCTGGACCTTCCCTGGCACGTCCTGTGGCACACACTGCCCGGGGGATACGTGGGCAGGGAGGAAAGAGTTCTCGCGTCCTCCTCTTGGGGAGA